GGCACACATCGCAAAACAAACATTGGGGTGGGTGGGCGGGGAGGGTCCGTTTGTTAGAGCTACACGCGGTTGGTATGATATATCTCTGCAAGTCAGGAGGTGTCGACAAGTACACCGCAGGGGACACGTCTCGATACAAAGCGTTTCGCACAAGCTTCAATCGTCGGGTAGCATCTGATGCAAAAAAAAAAAGCCAACAACACAGTACATAGCAGCACGCCCACGTAACGTAGGCCGCGACGTACACCATCACCGCCGTTTCACCAGTTTTTTCAAGTTTTGTTTTATGCTTTACCTGGCAAGCATGGCACGTGATTTCGGGAGTAGTCTTGCCGCTGCAGGCGAGGCAGTTCTTGGAAGGTGCTCCTCCAGAGATGCGGTTGAGGAACCCCCCGCCGTTCTGGAGAACGGTCGTCATACTTCGGGTGCAACACGCCTCTTCTCGACAACAATTCGGCGACAGATAGATCACTTATGTAACCGTCAAATCAATCAACCAGCAGCTTCTGTCGAGCGTGTTACCCTCAGTCTAACCAATCGACGGATACCAACAACTGTCCTCTCTCTCTCTCTCCAGCGGGCCCGCGCTTTACTTTCGCTGTTGGTGGACACCCGCGACAGCAGGCGCCGACCGGACAAAGAGAAGGATAACGGAGCCAAGACAGGCCGGCGACAAGGGAGAGGGGAGGCCGCAAGAACGCAAGGAGGGAGGGGAGTTGTGATCAAGCTTCTCGCCCGCGATTTGTGTGTTACGTACAAGTAATTACTGTACCACGACCGAAGTAAGCCTTCCAGGCTTCACAGGCCCTTCACCCGAAACGACACCCTTCGCGCCGCCGGACAACGATCGCGTTTACACATACAGTCGTCCCCGCTTTAAAGACACTCTTCTTAAGGAAACTCCCCGCTATAAAGACACATTTTTTCCCCAGAACATGGTGCCCCGCAGATGTACAATAATATAGGGGGGTAGCGTTTCCACTATGCGGCCCCCCCCCCCAAATTTTGATGGGGCAGCAAATCTGTAAGGCATTGTAACATCGACAGCGGTCTGCTGCAGCCCGCACTACTGCGTGTGGGTATGGAGAGATTCCTCCCATCTGCTGGCGGGTCGTCAGCTGCCGGCTTGAGGCCATGTGGCGAACCCACGTGCCAGCAAAAGTCTCAACTCGTGTCAGCGGTTCACCAGTGCCCGTGCGGGCGATCCATGCACGCGTTTTGTGGTCGGGGCATCGGAGAGGAAGGCTACGGACAGCAGAGAGAGTGCTCGGATTGCCAGAAGAGCAAAGGTGGAGACCAGGCTGGCAGCAGCAGCAGTCCCATGGAAGTGGAT